CCGCCGCGGCCGTGTGGAGGTCACAGAACCTGAAATAAGGTTGGACCTCTGGTGCGCACGAGAAAAAGGTCTACCATCATTGGGCCGACTGAGTCACCGTGATTAACATCCTCCCAAAAATTCTGTCGGATCGGGGTATGGGGGGCTCCTGGGGTGGGAGATTCCACCTTTTGGATCAAATGAAACAAATTAAGTTCCAACCCTAATTAATTTTTTAGGCATTCATGATAAGGGTGCAGTGACGACTGACATGAGAGACGCCAGACGTGTCCCGAGAGATCCATGCATATCGTATGTGTGGAATTGATCGAATGTGTGCTAAACGGGGTGATCGATTATTTTTTGTGATTCACGTACGTAACGTAGTATAAAATTGTAAAAACCACCATACTTCCTATGTCTTTTACATTTTTAAAAACATGATGATTTATTAAAATAAGAAATACTACCTTCTTATCAAAGTATGTACGTAGTTCTTCAATTTCCTCTACTAATAACATTTAAACTATTATTAATAATAAGAACAAACGACTAGCTAGAATATTACTGTTTCTATTGATAATCAGAACTTGCATTTTAAAAAAATAAATATTCTATTAAACAACAAATTTTATGTGAGAAAAGAGAAGTGAAAATGTATTACAGACCCATGAAGTTATCCACATTCCAAGATCCGAGCCCATCCGATTAAGAATTTGGATACTTAGGATGTTTTTACTTGCTTGAAGTGTAATTTGCTGGTCTGATCTGGTCTAAACTGGTCTGATCTGATCTGTTTTTTTTGTATTTATATAACTATCCAAGTCTGATCTGGTTTGAACTGGTCTGGTCTGATTTGATCTGGTTTGGTCTGAGAGAAATTACAGTCCAAATAAAAACATCCTTAAAATGTCATTATCTTTGTATATATTACGTATGGTTCGAGCTTCATTCGAAAAGTAGCTAGGATCTAACCATGAACTAGAAAGTAATGGGAAGGGCAGAACTTTTATTCATTTAAAATACTATCCATACAGCAAAATATAAATAATAAAACTCTTTAAATAAAGTTGGACAGCCCGGCCCTCACATTCTTTCCGATTATTAATAACATGTATGAAGAGCTATCAACCCGAATCTTATTAAGTTGTTCAAAAGAAAATGACTAAATGGAGAATTTTATGTGAATTGCACAAGCGTTATCTTTTCCTTTAGATATATGTATGTAAGGGTTTTTAATGAGACTAATCAATGTAAAATTAAATCAGATTAGATTAGATTTAAACGTATTAGATCAGACCGAGACGATAAGAGGAATAGAGTCACCAGAATTTTGGTCCAGATAAAAATATGAGAAAATTATGAAAATGTGATTCACTATTACACTATATATTGCAGGCCGGCCTTTATATTTGTAAGGAAATGTACAATTTAAGTGGTGTAGCCAAGATCGAGAAAATAGTGAGGTGGTACTCGTGAAAAATGAGGATACCATACTTATTATGCATACATTGGTTTATTTTATGTAACTATCATCAAATTCATAAATCTATTACTCGTATATTCTTTGATTTTTATCAAAAAAAACTCAAACTTCATTTTTTATCAATTATGCTTTTCTTTTTTCTTTTTTCAAAATTACACATTTTTATCAATACCGATAAAATACAAGCAATACAAGTTTATAAACTTAAAACTAGAAAAAAGGTAAAAAAAAGTAGTATGAAATATAAATATGATTTTCTTCTTAAATATTAGCAATTCATCCATTGACATTGCAATTGTGAGAAAAGTTGAAGTTTGAGTCTTTATTTTTTTTAATAAAAGTGAAAGCATGGTACATATTTGTGAAATTGACGATAGCTGATAATATACTTAGCTAATAATCCATATACATATCATTGGTTTAAGCCAATATCTTATCATTTATTTATACTTATTAAGTTATTATATTCAATTTCAACATTTCAGATGATCCCCGTAGACAAGATATAGTGCATGCCTTGAGGTATCATAGAATTTGTTTTTTTATAGTATATTTTACTTTAAATAAAAAAAGTTACACATAAAATAATTTTTTTTCGACATTTGGGGTGATCTGCAACATGAAATGACCCACCCATTTACAATTTTACCATAAATGCAAAATTTGATTTAATTGTGAAAATGTCATTGCATTTTTGTTCCAACTATTGGTTTTTTGGCGTTTTTATGCTTCACAAACCAAGTGCATCTCATTAATTTACAGTTTTAAGAATGTCCCTTTCTATTTGAAATTATATAAAGCATCTTTTTACCATATCAAAGTAGACTTAATGAGATTAGGCCGCCGAATTTTGGCTGTTATAAAATACAAATATATCAAGCATCTACGACATAATGTAACCAGATCAAACTTAAAAAATTGAGTTCAATTTAAAACACGCAAAAACTCATATAAAAAGAAGTGAAAATTACCCGCACGGTCTACTTTTATGGGTCACATATCATTACGTCTCAACTATTTTCTCTTTTCAATTATATCTTTTTTGTTTTCAATTTTAGTTTTTTATTTCACTCTTAAACTCTTCCGTTAATTCTATTTTCATACTTTCAAGGATTCACATGCTTGAAAGCTTAAAAATTACCTTAAAACTCGTGTAATAATCAAACTAAAAAGTTAATTCTAAGATGGAGGGAGTTCATTCATAAATTAGGATGTTTTTATTCAATGTGCATTTTACAACTTTCAAAATTTGATCTCATCTGCTCTGGTGTGATAGCTACTACTTGTTTATTAAACATGCATTTTACAACTTTTATCTAGTTTGGTATGAACCAATAAAAACTGTAATTACTACATTTAGAGCCCATTTGATGATAACCAAATTGACTGTATTGTTTGATTTGAGTTAAATTTTTGAAGTTGTGCCAGAGCTGGCTTGATCGGCCGATTTTGCCGATTTCTGAAAATATTATATTTAAAATATACTTTATTAATAAAATAAAATAAAAAATCAGATAAAAAAAGCTAAAATGATCATCTATAGTAATTTCAGTTAATACAGCCAGAAAAGTAATTCCAATATTACATTTTCTTATTATTACCTAATTTAATGCGTGAAATCAAAAGTTACATATTTGATGAAACATTGACTGATAAGTCCGATAAGCCTAACAAAGCCACTAAACGAGCTCTTAGTTTAGTCTGATTTACAATTGTAGACCCATAATTTTAAGTTGCTTTCATTATAGCGGAAAAGATGACGCTGACATTGAATTTTCTTTCCAAAAGTTTATTTTTTGAGATAAAGTTTTTAAATCGCAAAAATTTATTAATTACGAGATCAAATTTCCAAGTGACTTAAATTACGAGACTAATAATAAAAAATCAAAAATTATGGGAGTAAAATTACAAATCTCCAACGATTCTTGCCCAATTCAAGACTCGGAAGTAGTAAAGTTTGAGATGGGTAATAGGGAAAAACATAGGTCAATTGCCATTTTTGGTTAATACATAATCAGATGGTCTCTGTCGCAAAATCCAACTTTTAGTGATAGAGAGAGACAGAGAGCGATGGGTGGTCGCCTTTTTGAAGTTTGAGGTGATTCCATTATCTCCTACTTCCTTATCCCCTTCCTTAATTGATCCCTGTCTGCAAACATAAAATTTTCCTATCCGTACACAGCTGCTTCCGTCCGGTTGGTAAATCAACCGTACAAACTCTTTCTTTCACTCCAAACCTTACTTCAATCTTCTTCTTAGTTTGTGAACTGAAATTTGACTTCCCATTCCATCAATTCAAGGGGAAATAGCAGCTACATTCAGGGTGGGTAAATTAAGTTCAGATTGACTCTTGATTTCTGGTGTATGTAACTAAAACCTGATTCTTTTTAACTGTTGGGCTGAGATAGTGAGGAAATCATGAAAAGGGGATGTGCTGATGATGATAATCAAGATCTCTTCCGCCATGCAGGCGGCGGAACCGCCCCGGGAGATATGTCTCCGGTCGCCGGCGATGTCTTCGTTCACGGCCGGGAAGGTGACGACTTTGATCCGATGGAGATCTGGCTGGAATGTGTAGATCATCAAGATGAAGAAGATCTCCATCTCACTCCTTCTGTAGATCATCAAGATTTCCCTCCCCTCCCTGTGGATTACTTCCCATGCATGTCATCTTCTTCCTCCACATCCTCTGCCCCCGCCGCCGGACCCCCAAAACCGGCTTCTTCCTCCACCGCATCCTCTTCCTCCTCCGCAGCTTCCTGGGCTCTCTTAAAATCTGACCCCAACAAAGATGCCGCCAGAGAATTTCACCTGGCCATGGCGGCAGGGGCTCCCAGTTCGGGTTCCTTTAACGGCGCTGGCAGCGCCCCGCCGTTTCCGGAGGAAAGCTTCACTGAAGATGACTGTATCAATGTAATTGATAGTTTGGAGTACATGGACGACTTCATAAATGGAGACGACGGTCTTTGGGATATGAACTGCTCTGTTTTTCAGAACTCCGATGGTTTTCAAGAAGTCCTGACCGAGTTTCCGGCGGCGGCGGAAGACCTGAAACCCGATGAGAGTCATGTGACGCAACAGGAAGAACAAGAAGCCGACAAAAAAGCGGCCGAAAATGCGGAGGAGCCGCCTTTTCTGCAGGGAAACGGCGAGCTGGCGGCGATATTCTTTGATTGGCTGAAGCAGAACAAAGAGTACATTTCGGCGGAGGAGGTCCGGAGTATCAAACTGCGTCGGTCAACGATAGAGAGCGCTTTTAAGCGGCTTGGAAACACAAAGGAAGCCAAGAAGCAGCTCTTGAAGCTTATCCTCCTATGGGTTCAGCAAAACCAGCTCCAGAAAAAGATGTCAAGCCGACAAGCTGCCGCCGCCGGAGATGAAGCCGACCCTTTACTCTCAGCCGTCTGTCACTTCCCGCCACCCGACAATGCGCCGCCAGCTTTCTTCTATCACCAAAACCCTTGCATCCCAGCCACAGATCCGAACATGATGGTGGCGGGTCAGCCGCCGTTTCCGGTTTTCCAGCCGCCGCCTCCGGGAATGGGTTATGCCGCCAACAATGTCATTGGTGTGGCTGATCCGTACAATAATTACGGTGGAGCTCCATATACTCCAATGAACAGTTGCCATTTTCTTCAGCCAATGGACTCGAATCAATCTTGGCCGTCCTCCACTGAATTCCCCGCTGCATCACAGCCGTTCAATCCATTTCCCGAGAGTAATAATAATAATAACAAGAATGGCATCAATGGAACAGTAGCAGCAGTATCAGATGAGTCCCCGGGGTTGTACGGAAGCGAATTTCCGTACCAGCTTTTTGATGGCAATGGGGAGAGGCTGGTGAGATTGGGTTCCTCGGCTACAAAAGAAGCTCGGAAGAAGAGAATGGCTCGGCAGAGAAGGTTGTCTAATGGTCACCATTTCCGCCACCAGAACAATAATAATGCCATCCGATTGGGAGGCAGCGGCGGCGTTGAGAAGTGTTCGGTGTCTCACCACCGCCAGGTTGTTAATAATGGCCCTAAGAATAGTTTTGGAAATTGGATGTACTGGTCTCCAGCCGTTTCAAATGCTCGTCCGCCACAGCCTCAGGCTACGCCTCCCGTGGTTAAAGAGGCTCCGCGGCAGCAGCCACAACAACCTTCTCCTGTGGACAGGCAGCCATTGGCGCAACCTCAGCTAAACCAGGCAAAGCCGGGTTCATTGGACCGACGACAGGTGATGTTGATCAAATCGGAGTAAATCATATTTGATCAAACTCTGTCCATGTTTTACTCATATTTTGTGCAATTTCATACATGTATATATACTACCTCCATGATTTAATAGAATTGTAGTACTTGCTAACACTTTGACTTCCCACTATTAAAACAAAATTTATTTATTAATGCATTCAAAATATTATGAAAAATGTTATTAAATATATATGAAACTATTATTAAATACAATATTATTTAATGTTTTTTATCATCTTTACAAACAGATGATTAAATATATTGCAATTACAATGTCAAACGATTGCAACTAAATAAAAAGGAGGGAGTATATATTATATGTGTGCCTTTCTATACATTGCTCTTTTTCATCAATAGCCTCAACTGATCAGTATGTTTCATTGTTTATTATCAGATGGTTAAAACAGAAAAGAATTTGAAGTTTTTGCTTCAAAAGGTGTTGAAGCAGAGTGATGTTGGCAGTCTCGGACGGATTGTGCTACCAAAGGTAATGTTTGTTATGCTTTGGCATAATCAAATCATCTTCTTAAACTGCGTAATGTGCTTGAGGTACATTACATCAAAAGTGATACTCCATAGCTTGGGCTGTTCTTATTCTTTCTTTTTATGTTACATGACATTAATAAAAAAGTGGAAACATTGTACTTGGAATTTGTTTAGAAAAAAATTAGAATTTGTTTAGAAGAGACACAAAATGAAAATGGCATAGTCATTTCCATGAAAGAAAAATCAAGATAGTTTTGGTCCATATTTGAAATGGGAAAGGAAACACACAAAGTTTTTGGTAACGTTAGGACTTGATGTTCCATAATAAAAGCATATAGGAGTTCAAATAATAAGCAAAATCATATATAGTCTCTCTGGTTCTCATTTAAGTTCCCACTTTCCTTATTGAAAAGTTTCACATGAAAGTTTATGTTTCCCTATTTGCAACATTTAATTATAAAATGACAACTCTATCTTCATTTCATTTACCCCTACACCCCATTTTTACTCCACTAGTATGGGGTGAATATCTTTTTGTAGGTATATTATAGGAAAGTAAAAAGTTTATGCTAAAAAGTTTCCTTTCTTAAGACTCATTATGTCAAACAAGGAACTTAATTAAGATTTAAGAACCAGAGCTAGTATGTGTTTGTATTTATATATTTGGTTGATGCACCAAACCAAATTAGTAATATGGCTTAGTACACTTAAAATTTGAATGTGGAATGGTTCTGCACCAAAAGATGTAAACAATAATTGACGTATGCAGAAAGAAGCAGAAACTCAACTTCCAGAACTTGAATCAAGAGATGGAATTTCCATTGCGATGGAGGATATTGGCACTTCTCGTGTGTGGAACATGAAGTATAGGTATAAGTTATAACAAGTTAATGAAATTTGTTTCTCCATATCATATTTAATGCCTCAAATGAATACATTCCATTCTTTTACTGCATGTTTTTTATCAGGTTCTGGCCAAATAATAAAAGCAGAATGTACCTTCTGGAAAACACAGGTCAATAACCATGTCACACAATCATTTCAATGATCTTATATAGTCAACTATCTATAAAGAGAGCAAATGGTTGATCATGATCTCAAGTTTAATTTGGTTATTATTTGTAGGTGATTTTGTCAGGGAAAATGGACTTCAAGAAGGAGATTTCATTGTGATATATGCTGACACCAAATCTGGAAAATTTGTAAGCATATTTTCCCCATTTCATTCCCTTCTACTTCTAAATTTATAACATTAATGTGACATGAGTAATATTGGTAGGGAAACCGTGAGTTTTTCATACTCCGTATATTATATGTTCTTATTCACTCTACAAGGTTACTTTTTGAATTGCATATTCAACAAACTAAGTTTCTAAATCATTGATATAACGTAATAAATACGGAGTAAACATTTTCACATGGTGTGACAGTGTGCAATTCATGTGGTAACTCACGGTGGCACGTTACCATTTTTGACATACTGGACAGTGTTGCTTGAATATAATTAACCACAATGACTCAATGTATTGAAAATGCAGATGATTCGTGGAGTGAAAGTGAGACAGAATGGACCAAGATCAGAAGGCAAGAAACCAATGGCAAGGAAAAGCATTCGCCCTTCACCCGCTACTTTCCCTGGGATTTAATTAAGCCATCCAACCATCCGTGATCATATATGTCAATTAAGTGGTACAAATAATATTTGCAGCTAAATATATACAATTTCTGTATTATACATATATGATTTTGTAAACGGATCCGATCCCGTCCTGTTTCATATATATCTTGCAACTAGTCGAAGACTTAGCTATACTACTAGGTAGTAGCAAGTAGGCTGCTTTGATGATCAGATTTTGCCCAGTATATATCCCAATCCATCAAAGGGGTAAATAAGTGTGTTGTAACGCTACACACTTGTGTTGCTGCTGGTCGTGGTGGTGGATGTTTTTTTCTCGGGCAGCCGTACACCGGCTTTATCATCAAGCGTTTGGCAGCCATATTTTTATTGTGTATATCAAGTGTGCATGGCCTAGCCTGCCCTTCATATCAATCAGTTGGATATTATTATTTATTATTGCTGTGGTTTGTATTGTTATCATTATTATTACTCTTTGTATTATTATATTGTGTATAATTTTATTTAGCAGCTACTAATTGTGTTTGGTGCATATCTATAGGGTTTTCATTGAACAAAAGTTATACATAGAGCAAAAATGAATAAGCCGTTGTTCACAAAAGAAATAATATAATGTGTTTATTTTTAGGTGTAATTCTAAGTACCAGGATTAAAACATGACAAATGAACTATAAAACCGCCCAGGAACTCTTTTTATGCTTAAGTTAAAGTATTTTATCTTGTTGATATATTATGGCTCTCATAACTTTTTTTTTTCAGGAGCAGACCGCTGCTCTCATAACTCTCTACGACTAAAAAGTTATGACGCCTTCTGGACAATCAGTAATATCTAAATTTAAAATGAGTAAAGCTTGATACGTAATATTGATTATATTACCAAATTTTAAAAGAAACGTATAAATCACTTATTACTTACGTGATGAAACTCAAGGACATAGGAAAGACACTATCTTATTACTACGAGTATCTACTAAATAGCTGATTCTTTTTGTGGTAAAAAATCATGATAGTAAATTGGGTGTAAGGAGAACTATAGAGTTTAAGGCAACTTTAAATCATGAATTAAGGGTAAAACAAAGGGTCTAATCTGAGACAGACATCGATGCAAAATCCCATCTATTAAACCGGTTAAAACAACTTTATACTCTGTAATATTAAACCGGTTAAAACAACTTTATACTCTGTAATATATATGACATATGCGTCAAATCTATAGTTATATTAGTCTCATTTAAATTATCATTTATCTAAGGTACATATGAAACATTCAGCTCGATCATTGTCTAAAAATGTTCCACATTTTTTATTTTATCTATGTAGTTGAATTTCTACCCCTTGAATCGTTTTTCCGGCACTTCCAATTTGGAAGTGTTTTATAATGTATGTCACGGATGAGATTGTGACATTGTTAAATGGTAGAGTGATTAATCGCTATATGAAATGTATTTAATTGACCTCTTGAGGCATAATTTGATAATGAGACTCATATTCAATATGTCATCATGCTTGGAACATTTACATTTTCTCGTATTTTTCTTGAAGAATTCATAATTAGTTGTTCAAAATTAGGAGAGTAAATATGAACACACTTTCCCCTTTTTTGTGCCGCGTTGTACGGGAAAATAACATCCAATTTATTGTTAATAAAGATACTGACGCACCGATGCCAGCGCAGAGTGTGTTGTAGAAGATAAGGACGGTTGCTTACCGTGTGAATATCATGCTTGGTCTATTTTTGTAACTTCATATATCCATCAAATTATATTAAAATATAAAAAGGACAACTTTAATTAAGTAGTCATTATAATGTAAATCAATTTGTTCAAACCATTAATAGGATTCACATGTATACTACGGAGTATATATGTTTTGTACAATTTTCTTGGGCCTGCGTTTTGGGATAAATTATACTCCGTAAATAAGCTAAGGTAATCATGTCTGTCGCGGGGATCTTTTATCACTATATAAATACTAGTATAGCACCCGTGCGATGCACGGTGCGTAAATTAATTATAAAACATGATAGAATATAATTAGTATTCAATGTAAACATGTATCCATAATGTAAAAATGTTAAATGTTAATGATATAAAATAAAATATACTCCCTCCGTCCCAAAATGATAGTCCTGTATTTCCTTTTAGGGATGTCCCAAAATGATGATCTTGTTTCCCTTTTTGGAAAGAAAGATGTAGTCCATATCATTTCACTTTATTATACTCAAATTTCAACCACAACTTTTACCTTTTCAACCACTTTATTAAAACTTGTGCCCAAAAGAAATGAGACTATCAAATTGGGACGGAGGGAGTAATAATTTGACCATATATGTAATATTACAAAAGCATATATATATACAATGACAACATCCGATCCTTAATCACAAAAAATTATATGGTCAGTTAGCATTAATCGATACATAATATCGGATTCAAAATGAAGAGAAAGATCAATAAAAGATAAAATATGATAAACAATAACGAAAAAGATAATATAAAACAGAGGAGATATAAATAAGAATGATAAGATAAAAAGGATAAAAAGAACACACTCCCTCCGTCTTGAAATGAAGTTTTCAGTTTAACCTACACACATATTTATGTATGATAGAGTTATATTTTGACTTTCCAAGTATATCCTTACTTTATGTCAAATCAGGCAAAAGTACATAAAAACTAAGGGTAGTTGTAACTTTTTGCTTAAAAGTAATTTCTTTTTTAAGAAAATGAGAACTTCTTTTTAGGATATACATAAAAGGAAAGTGAAAAATTCTTTTCAGGATGGAAGTAGTAGTACACACACACACATGGAGCGATTACGGTGAAAAAGAATTCACATGAAAGAAATGAGAATGATTCTGGACCGTTGGATTGTATTATGTGAAACTAAATTATGCATTTGGTAAATCTGGTAAGGTGCATTAGGTGAAATTGAAATGTGCATAATAATTGAAATGTGCATAATAATTTAGTTTCACCTATTATTATGATTTATTGCTCCTGAAATAACAACACAAAGTATATAACTATTAGAAATTAGTTCAAATAGGACTAAAACTTTGGCAAAAACCTAAAATAGGACTTGCAATGTTTTTATTCCAAAATAGGACCATATGAGTCCTATTGGAAACATACCTATTTTTGCATTCCATTCTTACTCTTCCATTAAATATGAATTAAAAATAGTCAAAAGCCATAATTAAATGTTTAATTCATAATAAATTCGAAAAAAATTCAAAAATTCGTATAAATATAATTAAAAAAATTATAAATTTTTTATAAAATAAAAAATTCAAAAACTTTTTTTTAAAAATAATTTTATTTTTAAAAAAATTAATAAAAATTAGTAAAACTCCCTAAAAAAAATTTTAAAAAATATGGATGCCTTTCCCACCGCCTGTACTCCCTCCCAGCACCACCACCTCCGACCGATGAAAAAAATGCCATTTTCCCAGAAAAATGCCATTTTTTTCTGAAAATGCCAAAAAAGTTTTCCTCTGGTGGTGGTGCTGAGGCGGCGGCGATTTTTTTTTTGAGTTTTTTTTTTTTTTTAATTTTTTTTTTAATTTTTTTAATTTTTTGAAAAAAAAAAAATTAAATTTTTAATATCGAAATGTTTTTCTTAATTTTTTTAGTATTTTTTACGAATTTTTATTATTTTTTATTATTTTATTAGGAATTAAAACATTTTAATAGCTACAAGGGTATAATTGTCCAAGGTACACATAATTAGTCCTATGCAAACATAGTTTATTTTTTGGTCCTATTTGTGAAAAGTGAATGACTTTTAGTCCTATTTTGATAATTAACTCTATGACTATCTATGGCTACACACACATTTCTTCAATAGAGACCAATATGAGACAATAAAGGACCTTAAATTAGAATGGATCAATTATAATTATATAACTATCTATGGCTATTATTGTTCAAATATAATTATTATATAACTTAGTAGAATCGATCGATCAATTCAATTGTTTCAATTAGAATTTTACCATTCTAAACAAATTTATTAGATTCAATCAATTTCGATGTTACCAAATAAATTCTAAATTAAATAGTCTGAAATAAGATTTTTAATTTGTAAAAATAAAATTAGTACTCCGTATTTCTTTTTATAATTAATTAATACAGCTCAAATGAACAAAATGAGATACTCCTTTTTTATTAAATAGCTAACTCTCAGCATATTTGTATGTTTTGGCCCAATCGCTGACCCAAAGCCCAAAAAACAAATACATCAACACATAATAAAAACAAAGCCGCTCGATCGAGAAACCTAACGCCCAGATTCTTTTCTGAGAGTTGTCGAGAGATGAGAGGGAGAGAGCTGGTTTGTGAGAGTGTGAGGGAGGGGTTTCCTTTTAGATCCTGAGCGTAGGCTGTTCGTGCACGGTCTGGCTTAGTGGGGTTGGAGAAGCTATTGCCAAAATCGCTAGGTGATTAGCCCGACCTGGGCTAGGTGATGAGCCACTTAATTTGCTGCGCGTGGACGGTGATGGAAAGAGAGCTTGTGGGTGATTCACAGTTTACAGGAGCGAGGTATCTGGGCATGGTTTCTTGACCCTCAATCATTTTTGTTCTCTGTTCTGAGTCTGTCTGAGCTTCGAAGTTAGTGTAGCCTTTATATATGGTGTTTGAAACTGAGGTTTCCAATTAAATTGCTTCCGTTTTCAGAGGATTGAGGGTCTGGATGGGGAATGAAACTGAAAATTGGAGTTGTCCCTTGCTGTCCCTGAGAATTAAACCACCGGCGCTCCTGAATTGGTGAAGGTTGCGTCTGTGTTCAACGTGAAGGTATTTGGTGAGTCAAGTTGCCACTTTATGATCTTAATTTGCTATTTGTTTGTGAGTTGTTACATTAGGCCATCCCTGTACGTATAGATTTGAGTCAATTAAATACCAGTAGCTATATTATAAATTCAAGTAATTAAGTGCTAATACAACATACGGAGTATTATAGGTATGAATTTCAAAGGGGGTATCTTTACTGGTTTTTATAGATTGATATTTGCTGGTTTACCTCAAATCAAGGTCTATCATTTTCAGATTCTGTTCAATGAGCTTGTGCTTTAGAAGTTTGAACAATATAGTGGCATTGTTGTTAGAAGTTAAATTTGCCCAATACTTTCATTTTTATGCTATAGCGTTGTTCTGACTTCTAACTTGATCTCCATAATTGATTTGGAAATTCAAA